ATTCATTTAGGTGAGCCCAATATGACATAAATTTTACTTTCATCGCATTAGCTACAGCATGTTGTGTATTGATCACTGGGTTTTCATTATTATTTAAATGTATAATAAGACCACGAAATATCAAGCGCAAGTCATCTTGGGTTGGAAGTGTTGGCGAAGACAGAATTATGGTTGTATAATACATAGGTTCAAGAAGAGCTAACAGGTTCTGTAATTTGCAATAATAGTATTAAAATCTTTTAAAACAATAGAAAATTATTTAACTAACTATAATAATTTCCTATTCTTGTTCGTCAGGATAATTCGGTTTTAACATTTGGTTGCTTACAACAAGAATATCGGTTATAGGGCGAATTCGTTGAAGTTTTTCTAATAAAATATACATGCTATTCCATCTGGTATTTACATCAGCTTGAGGCATTAAAAATGGTTGATTTTTTATTTCAAATATTTGTTTTAATTCTCTGATTAGTAACAGAGAGTTTCAAAACCTAATAGAAAACTCCTGCACTTTAGAAATTTCTTTACTGACTGACTTAATTCTTTCTTCAACAATAATATTTAGAATATGTGCGCTACAGCGAAAATGCTACACATTAATATTACTAAATTCATTATGCATTCTTTCTTTTAGAACACGACCTATAGCAATCATATTGGAAGCGTTGTCTGTCGTTACTCCTAAGAGCTTATGGCCTATATTCATTTTTGTTAAAAGTTCAATTATCGTATCAGTTTGGTTGACCGCAGTGTGTGCTTGATTGAAAGGAATAATGTCTAATAAAATGCAATGCATTTTCCACTCAGGATCTACCCAATAAGCAGTTACACCAAGATAGGGTTGTTGTATGCAGGATGTCCAACCGTCCATTGTAATTGAAATTTTTGATGGAATGTCGTTAAAAAAAGCAATAATTTTATTTTTACTATTAATATACTCTTGACTGTCCCAAGTTGAGATTGTTTGGCGACATGGGGTTTTGTATCTCGGATCAAGTTCGTGTAAAAAATTAATAAATTCAGTATTTTTGGCCAACAAAAATTACTGTTGGTCAACGACTACCCATTTTAAAAGTTTATTATTTATTGTATCTATTTTATATTTGCTATTTGGGCCATAAAGGTCAAGTCGTCGAAGTTTACGTTGTTTAATTTTAGTAAACTCTGCAGGATGGAAGTTTTGAAAATGCTGATTAATAGTCAATATTGCAGTCAGGTTGCCAAACGTTTGTTTACATAATTTACATCTTTTACATCTATCAGGAGTTGATAAACGGTAATCTCTAACGGGTGCTCGATTATTTGTAGAGGAGGTGGAAACATTACTTAGTGTTTGATTAGTATTATCTAATAAGGGTGCGATTTCATCACTTGTAGTTTCTTCACTAGAGGTTTCTGATTCTTTGTCTATGGATTCGATATAATTT